GACAGCTAGACAGATAACAGCATGCTTATTGAGCACTGGCTGTGACAAAGCACTTTACTGTACTTTATTCTTTTGGGACAGTTCTTGTTCTATAGCAGCTTAGGATGTAATATGGAAGACCACATAGAAAAAGAGCATTAATGTGGAATGTTTTGACTTCTCAAAATTCATTTTCAGATGAAATGCCTGTCTTCAAACTTGATTATAATTATTTCTATCATCTGCTTCATATAATTATTATTTCTGGTACTGACATTGTCCGGCAAATATTTGATGAGGCTCTGCCACCCCCTCTTTTGAAAAAAGAGCTTCTTATTCACAAGAATGTTCTGGAACCCTACTACAACCATCTTTGGACTAATCACCCTTTGGGTGGAGCATGGCATCTGCTTTATCCCCCAAACAAGGAGCTACCACAGTCCAAACAGTTTGACTTATACCTCCTCTTAGCTCTCATAAAACATTTGAATGTATTTCCTGCACCCAAAAAAGGCTGGAATATGGAGCCACCATCTTCCGATCTCTGTAAGTCTGCTGACATCCTGAGGCTGTGCAAATACAGGGATCTCCTCCTTAGTGAGATTTTGATGAATGGTCTCACTGAGTCACAATTCAATTCAATTTGGAAAAAAGTTTCAGATACTCTTCTTCGCCTTGGCATGAAGCAAGAGGATATTGACAAAGTAAAGGAGAATCCCATTGAGAATATCTCTCTTGATTACCATCAGCTGTCTATCTACCTAGGCATACCAGTACCAGAAATCATCCAGAGGATGTTATCCTGCTATCAACAAGGTACATAATAATTATTTACTTAATCCAGTAAACCTTCACTGAGTGTCTGCTATGTGCCAGACACAGTGAGCTGACATTCTCAGAAGAACAGGCTCATCAATGAGCTAATAGAAATGATAGGGCTGGAGATGTTCCAGAATACCATGGTCAATCCTAGCCTAGGAGCATCCAAAAAATCTTTCTGGAGGGTAGAATATTTAAGTAATTCCTAAATCACGTGTAAAAGTTAGCCAAGTGAAGAAGATGGAGATGAATGTTTCAGAAGGAAACGAGAACAAAGGCATAGAAACATAAAAATATAATGCAGGGAACTCAAAAGTTTGGCCTTAAAGTAGATTAAGTAGTAGATCTTAAAGAGATTAAAGTAGGGGAACATTCATAGAATACATTCAAAAAGATTTCTTTTACCATGTTGAGGAGTTTGTATTTTCAGAAAGGACTTGTTGAAGATTTTTAAGTAGAGGACTTTTATCGCGTCTACAAAATTAAGGATGCCAAAATCCATGAAATACTGGTACTGTGTTTCAAGGATACCATTTTAGATACCATGAGTGTATGTTTCTCTTCCTTCTAGCAGAATCTTGATGTTTAAATGTTTGACAGCTATCCAGCAGCCATGGGTGATTTTAAAAATTACATAATATTTATGCAAGTATCTAAGGTGAGCAGTGGCCATTCCCAGGCACTGTATTGACATGGAAAAAAAAAAGACTTTAGACCTCCTCTCCCACATTCCAGGATAGTCTCTCAGCTGTCGTTGTGGAAAGCGGAGTTTAAGGCATGTCAGCATCACTGAAACCCTTGTTGTGCTTGTTGACTTTTCCTGTTCCCAAGTTACTAGTCGTACTACCTAGTGAGCAACTGATGACCACACTGATGTTATTTAAATTTAAGTTTAGAAACTTCCCACGTTTCTAGAAATTGTCAAACTAGTTCATATTTTCTTTAGACATGATTGCTAGGTCCATATTCCATTCATTTTACTAAGGCTCTGGGATACCACTGTGTTTTCCTGCTAACCTTTAAGAGTTTTCTTTGAGCATTAAAGAAGAGAATGCCGAGTTTGATAAAATAGGAAAGTCAGGCATGAGCCCTTGACTTATAAATTACAGGCTTTTTTTTTTTTTTAAATTCACTCTATTAGGATTTTAAGTAACATAAAACTCACAGGAATAAAAGTGATATTTGGGAAAGTGCTTTGAGCACTAAATAAATTCAAGTCATTTCAAGCAATTGTCACTCAGGTAGTCTGAAGAGCTCATTGGTCAAGTCCTGTCAATCGAGGCTTTTCTAGCATTTTATATCTCTTTCCTAGTAGTTATTACAGTTGCAGTTTTGATTTGTGTATCTGATTATTGATTACTACCCATTGTCCCCACTAAATCTCTATGAAGGTTATCTTTTTGTTTCACCATTCAAACCTCTAGAACCTGATATAATATTACTAGGCAAGGAGAAGGGAGTGCTGATCAGGATAATTCATATTTCTAAAAAAGGCTCAGACTTTCTGTGGAAGTTCATAATTGGCTGTTAAATACTTCATGACCTAAGACTTTATAAATCATAAGAATTTGCTGCTTGGTTTAAAGTGCTTATATCCTAGGCATTATCTGTTAAGAACAATCAAAAATCTGTTTACTTTTCTTTCTCTAATCATGGGTTTAAATTTATGTTAAAATCTAAAGATCATGCCTATTTATACTGAATTGATGAGTGAAGCTGATTATTTTTACAGTTAGTTATAAAATTACGTGGTGCAGTATAAAAATCTGGCTTTTCTTAGTCCCAGTCAGATATTTGTTGATTGCATTTGCAATTGCACATCTAAATATTTTCTTTATGTATCGTAGGAATCGCTCTACAGTCAATAACCGGCAGTCAACGTAAGTATGTTAGAAACAAAATGCCTAAGTGACCTTTCAGTTTGGGATAGCTAAGGGATCCCTATAAGAGTCTTACTTGGTCAGATAAACTATATGATAAATTACAGTTGTTATAAGCTTAGAAAATCATGTGATCAAATCACTGCTGGTCAGCTGATCTAGTATGAGTCTTTTTACTCTGCCTTGGTTTCAGTCAGTGCATGTGCCCCAGGATTTACCTAATTGTAATATTTTAACTTTTTGGCACACAGGACACTTCAACAGGCAAAAATGCCTACTTGCTTGCTCCACCTGCTCATATATGCTACTGTTTACCTTATGTAGCTTTTATCTGGTTAGCTATCAATTGTTAAAGCTATCTATATATTTTTGCTGAGTGGTGAGTTGCTAATTTAAATTCCCATTTTTGTGCTGTTTTTTTTTTTTTTAATGTAATTCATATTGTGCAATTCAAATTTACTTAAGAAAGCAACACCATGGGTTTTGTTTGGAGTAAAATTATACTTAATATCACTGTGCATTTTGATTGGACCGCCTGTGACCAGTCAGATGAAATTCACAGGTTTTGAGATTGAATTTCTAGGACTATATCAAGGAGTATAATGTCAAAGAGGAGGTCATATAATAAGGGACTGATACCCTTTCAAAACCTTTGGTTATGAAAAAGAAGGAAAAACGGAAAAAAATAGACCTTCTAGCTTTCTCTTAGCTATGTTTAGATTTATGTCCTAAAATAATTCTAGTTGCAGTATTAATAGGGTCAATGTCAGGATATTCAAAAACTTAGTATTTAGAGTCAATTTAAGTTCTAGAATATCTAATATATAGAGTTTACTTAAGATAACAGTAAAGCATCTTAGCATTTGGGTTCATACTGATTGGTTCCAGGCTAATATATGTATCTATCATTTGATGATTGATAAATGGACATTTCATTTTCATCTAGTAATTGAACATAGTAAGATGTCTTCTATTTCTATTTCTGGAATGGTGTTTTGGGAGGTAAATATATTTATAATAGTGATAAGAGGCTAAAATTACATGCATCAGATTTTGAGTGTTTTGTTTTCAATATTTAGGTATTGACATAGAAGAGTTACAGAATGAGGAAGAAGAACTAAGCCCACCTCTCATGGAGTACAATATAAATGTTAACTCAAACTCTGAAATACAGTTAGCAGAAATGAATAAAGATGGGACATCAATACCCAGTGAATCTTCAACAGAATCTATTAGAGATCTCCAGGAGGTATAAGCTCTCATTAGTATTTGAATTAGAAGAACTTAATCAGGGCCTTTAGTCTGTTGCATGTGCTACACTTAAAGGATCCCAGAACACTATTTATCATGGTGTTCACACAAAGGTTGAATTGGAATGGTTCTTTCCCCAGTACTTCCTTCCATAATTTTTCCTGCCTTAACCACTTCTTTTGCCAACATTTATTATGTGCCAGGCACTATGTTAGACATCTTAACATGTTTGTTTATTCTGATTGATGGGAGTGGATGTGGGAGGTTAATAGAAAGTAGAAGAAAGCATAGTGGGGAATAGAGGGAGAGAGAAGAGAGGGAAAAAAACGGATATTTTAACACCATTTGCACAAAGGTAGAATTAAAATCACCCAGGGTGGAATCTCTGTATTTCTTTACAGATAAGTGGTAGCAGTTATTATGTAGTCACTAAGTTCTTCTTAGGCTACATTTTCATCCAATGAACCTGAACATATTGATTATTTAAAAGTGCCCTTCCTTTGTTACTCATGTATGGAAGTGTNGACCGAAGATCAGTTTAAAATTTAGTACACAAGGTATTATTTTATATTTACTTCTGCTATTGAAAAATGTGTTAAATTTTTTACTTACTCTGTAAAGGATCATGCCATTAACAACCATGTGCTTATTTGTGTTTGTCACTCACTGGGCTTAGGTTTACACTAGCAAGCATCACTTGGTGTAAGCTGGAACTCATGAACAGAACGATCAGCAGATGAAAGGGTCTCACATTACCTTGGCCTCATGTGGAGAGGTTTGTTAGATCTATTGCATAGCTGTGACTTCACACTGAGATTGGGCTAGAGCAGATATTCCCTGCCAGCCCCTCCTCCCTTTCTTGCATTCCCTATTAATAGAGCAAAATTGGAGGAATGAACATTGAGGGCTCAAGGCAAAGTAGTTTGAACATAGGTGCCAGCTGTTAGGGGTGTGCTAGTAAATGCCAGCTGCTCAGCATTTGGAGACCGTAAAGGTTTCTGCTTCCATGGAAGCATAGTTTGGTGGCCATCCTTGTTTTTGGGGAAATGGATGTCCCTGATCCCAGCCAGCTCCTTATCTGGCAACCCAGAGAAAACTCCCTGTGTCATTTGCTTTGTAATCTTGCTTGCCTCCACAGTGTATGTCAAGTATATCAAGCAAGAATATTAGTTTAAAGTTCTCTTGAAACACATATCATGAAGGATAAAATAATGAAGCTGTGTTTTATGATACACACATGTTTTTATATTCATACAGCAAATATATCATCATGTACCACACTCTTGCTACTTTCTAATACATCTCAATCTACTTCCCTCCTTTGGGAGTGCTACTAAACCAGAAAAATACCAATAAGGTCTCATGACTTATTCCATTTCATTGATGAAATATCCACTTAATCATTAATGTATTTTTTGAGAGGGTAAGACCTGAGGTTCATTAGACAACAGTGTCTCAAACTTTAAAATATATTTAAATTATCTGGTGGTTTTGTTAAAATGTAGGCACTAATTCAGTAGCTCTGGGATGGGGCTTGAGATTCTCCTTTTCTTACTACCTCCCATGTGGGTGCTCATGCTGCTGGCCCATGGCCTGCACTTTGTGTAGCAAGGCATTCGATCACTTTATGTTTCTTGATATAGTTCTGTGTTGTCTATTATGGTAGCCACTAGTAACCTGTGGCTATTTAAATTTAAATTAGATAAAGTTTCAAACTCAGCTTTTTTGTCAGATACTCAGCATTTCCAATGTTCGGTGGCTAGTAGACAGTGCAAATCTAAAACATTTTCATCACAGATAGTTCTATTGGGTAGTGCTGATTATGATAAAATATAATCGCCTAAGTAAAGTATAATTAAACACTGGCAGTTACCATTCTTGACAATCTCTGGAGTTGAAGGCCTAAAACTTTTATGCCATTTGGTTTCCAAAGCTCATTTACTTGAACAAAACCCTGGGTGGTTGAAAGGCTTCTGCGGTGATTAGTTTTTGTAATTGCTTTTGCTTGTGAACATACTGTTTTTGTTTGGATTTTTCGACAGCTAGACAGATAACAGCATGCTTATTGAGCACTGGCTGTGACAAAGCACTTTACTGTACTTTATTCTTTTGGGACAGTTCTTGTTCTATAGCAGCTTAGGATGTAATATGGAAGACCACATAGAAAAAGAGCATTAATGTGGAATGTTTTGACTTCTCAAAATTCATTTTCAGATGAAATGCCTGTCTTCAAACTTGATTATAATTATTTCTATCATCTGCTTCATATAATTATTATTTCTGGTACTGACATTGTCCGGCAAATATTTGATGAGGCTCTGCCACCCCCTCTTTTGAAAAAAGAGCTTCTTATTCACAAGAATGTTCTGGAACCCTACTACAACCATCTTTGGACTAATCACCCTTTGGGTGGAGCATGGCATCTGCTTTATCCCCCAAACAAGGAGCTACCACAGTCCAAACAGTTTGACTTATACCTCCTCTTAGCTCTCATAAAACATTTGAATGTATTTCCTGCACCCAAAAAAGGCTGGAATATGGAACCACCATCTTCCGATCTCTGTAAGTCTGCTGACATCCTGAGGCTGTGCAAATACAGGGATCTCCTCCTTAGTGAGATTTTGATGAATGGTCTCACTGAGTCACAATTCAATTCAATTTGGAAAAAAGTTTCAGATACTCTTCTTCGCCTTGGCATGAAGCAAGAGGATATTGACAAAGTAAAGGAGAATCCCATTGAGAATATCTCTCTTGATTACCATCAGCTGTCTATCTACCTAGGCATACCAGTACCAGAAATCATCCAGAGGATGTTATCCTGCTATCAACAAGGTACATAATAATTATTTACTTAATCCAGTAAACCTTCACTGAGTGTCTGCTATGTGCCAGACACAGTGAGCTGACATTCTCAGAAGAACAGGCTCATCAATGAGCTAATAGAAATGATAGGGCTGGAGATGTTCCAGAATACCATGGTCAATCCTAGCCTAGGAGCATCCAAAAAATCTTTCTGGAGGGTAGAATATTTAAGTAATTCCTAAATCACGTGTAAAAGTTAGCCAAGTGAAGAAGATGGAGATGAATGTTTCAGAAGGAAACGAGAACAAAGGCATAGAAACATAAAAATATAATGCAGGGAACTCAAAAGTTTGGCCTTAAAGTAGATTAAGTAGTAGATCTTAAAGAGATTAAAGTAGGGGAACATTCATAGAATACATTCAAAAAGATTTCTTTTACCATGTTGAGGAGTTTGTATTTTCAGAAAGGACTTGTTGAAGATTTTTAAGTAGAGGACTTTTATCGCGTCTACAAAATTAAGGATGCCAAAATCCATGAAATACTGGTACTGTGTTTCAAGGATACCATTTTAGATACCATGAGTGTATGTTTCTCTTCCTTCTAGCAGAATCTTGATGTTTAAATGTTTGACAGCTATCCAGCAGCCATGGGTGATTTTAAAAATTACATAATATTTATGCAAGTATCTAAGGTGAGCAGTGGCCATTCCCAGGCACTGTATTGACATGGAAAAAA